TTTTTTTTTTTTTTTAAAGATTTTATTTATTTATTTGACAGAGAGAGACACAGCGAGAGAGGGAACACAAGCAGGGGGAGTGGGGGAGGGAGAAGCCGGCTTCCCGTGGAGCAGGGAGCCCATCCCAGGACCCCGGAACCATGACCTGAGCCGAAGGCAGACGCTTAATGACTGAGCCACCCAGGCGCCCCTGAAGTCAGTTCTTAAAAGCCACAGAAATGTAGGTTTCCACCATGTCAAACATTTTGGTAACATGTATTATACCCTGTATCCTTGAAAAGAGAGGATAATTTATAGAAGAGAAACAAGTTCAGTGGTTAGACCCTGAACCACATTCACACTCCGCTCCCGGAGTGTGGCAAAGTGATAAAATTAAGAAAAACAATTGCAGTTACAACTGGCGTGCCTCCCAGGTATACACCCCCATGCCGCCACCTGCAGGGTGCACCAGCATCTTATTCTCAGCCTCTGGGATGAGGAATCTGAGTCTCCGGCGGAAGTGCGCTCAACTTGCATGTGGGGGCAGGGGGAGGGTCTGCGTCCCAGTGCAGGCTCTGGGTTTTTCCCAAGGAAGCATCTTTCCGCTTAGCTAGGGATCAAATAAACAACCCTGTAACAATTTCAGTACAAAGCGTTTTTTATTGACATTGTAAGAAACATTGTTCTTTCTTTTTGTTACAAAAGGACTAGGTGGTTCTGAAAGCAAAAGTAGAGTCCACGTGTGGCGGGACTGTGGCCCTGGGCATGAGGTGGGCGCGGGGGCATCGCACGGCTGCAAGCTGATCCAAGAAGGCCCAGGGCCGGCCACATCCGAACACTATGCCTACAATACTTAAATGTATTTACATGTGTTTCTTTTAAAAAAGGATTACACATTTTATTTTTTAAAAATCTAAAAAAGGTGAAAAAAAATTAACTTTTTTTTTTTTTACACGTTTGCGGGATACACAACAGTAACTTGTCAGAAGAGAACATCCTCCATCAGTTCAAAACAACACGGGAAACCAGGTTACAAGACAGCTCAGACTCAGCTCCGATCGTGTGCTCTTGGCTGGCCCGGGAGCACGCGGCCTCGAGCTGTGATCGGGCAACAACAACTGGTCCCTCGCATCGACAAGATCAACGTAAAATAAGGCACATACATCGCAAGAATCACAACTCTACGGCTCAAGAGGACGAGCCAACGCATGAGGAGCAGGTGCAGTCTCATTAGCTCTTTAGGAAATAAAACAAAACGGTTTAACAAATAAACACACGGTTCGCACAGACGTTCAATAGGAGCCGCACATACGAGCCTGCATTGAGAACTAGGATGGGACCCTAGTGAGTTGCTGTCATCACCCTCCATCGCGAGGGTCGGAGAAGTGGGGGGGAGGCTGGAGGCTGGAGGCTGGGGGTGGGTCCTGCCCGAGATGCCAAGTCTACAGACGGAAGGCTTCCAAGTGGCCCCAACAAACCTCTCTTCCACTGACTGTCAGGTCACATCGCGCACTCCTGGAAAAGTACACTTTCCTTCTCCCTCCCCCCGCTTCCCCATCTTTCTGAGATTTCCACGGAGAGAAGCCAAAGACTGCACTGAAGTAGGACTATCTCTGCAAACCTAAGGGCGGAAGGAAGGAAACCAAGTATGAAAAGGTGTAGAAAGGGAGCCACACAGAGAAACACCTGAAACCACAGGACAAAGCAGAGGCACAGGATGACAACAGTCCTCCCCCAGCTGCCGTCCATCCTTCCACGGAGGGCAGGCAAAGGAGGAACTTAGGGTAATTGAGAAGTGCAGGTCACATCTGGGAGTTTTACTGGGGAGGGACTCTGATGGAGGAGGAGGGCAGGGTGGTCCTGGGGACCACTGTCCTCACTCAGCAGGCTGCAGAACGCCCAGGTCCCAAGCTTGGAAACCAAGAGCAGGGTCAGGCCAAACCGTGAGAGCTCATAAGATCAGATCAGGGCGTAGAGATTCTGCTGTTTGTAGAAAAAGGAGATTCAGGGAATGGACCACTGATTTTGTGACTGGGTCATGACCTGTTTGAGGAACACAGAAAGAGCCTGGCTCTTTTCTGTTGCAAAGTGGTAGATGCCACTCCACTGAGCTCACATCAGTAGCTGTCTTTTGCTTTTGGGCTCTGTTCCAAAGCACATGTGTCCTTTGACTTAAAAGCCGGTGCTGGATGGGGGTGGGGAGCGGTGGGAGAAGTCTCAGCACCCCACCCAACGGTTTCAGGAACATTCAGTCGAAGGCAAACCCAACTTTCTTAGCCATAAAGTCCCAAAGGGCAAATTTACCTCCACGCTGAGATTCTTGGTCCAAATGAGAGATCACAAATGTGAGAAAAATGGGCTGGTGCTAACATTTTTTCCTATGATCTCATGTTTTATTTTATTTCACTTTGTCGAATACTAATTTAAATGACAGGAATAAAGGGGAAAAAGCCACACAACTGACTCATGAGTCACTTTGGATAAATCCAACTTCCAGGGTCAATAGGATAAAAAAGAGCAGGTAGTCTGAGGTATTACTATTTTATTTTTAATAGTTTACATATTTTTAAATGTAAAATGCTGGATAATCCATGTACTCTGTACACACATAGTATGTCTTTTATGTGTATCGGCTGCACATGGCAAGTAGCTGCACTTTTTTAGTCTTTAAATGTTTTAATCCAAAACAAAAGTACAAATTAAGTCCGCATGAAGGACTAACTGCCTAGAACATTTAACTTCTTAAATGGATGCATCATTTAATAGATAGGGTGTAAGAAAAGGCATCCACAGAGCTACTAACCATCCTCCCGAGTGCTTTCAAATACTAACAAAGGTCAAGGTGATTTATTCCAAATGCCATTGTATGTGAGCTTTTTCCTTTACAACTAAGTTTTATAAATCCCTTAAAATAGGGTACTTAGAATAGAAATACTCCTTCGCTGTAGTGGAATTAACGTATGTTAATGAGAGAGCCAGTTGCAGGGTCGTTTAAATACCTAAATACTTAGAACTATATATAATCAATTCTCAGTTATCTATGATAACGGGTGAAGAGGTGGAATTATAATCAACAAATATAGCAAACCCACAAACGTTCCCCAAGCTATTTCTACCCAGTAGCTTCACTCTACAATCTACCTAACTTCTTGCCAGAACAGATGGAAGTCACAGACCCACCGCCCTTCCCCTCTCTCCCTGGAGCGCCAAGCAACATGGAGCGGTCGTGGAGACAAAGGGAGGAGAAGCAACGTGGGTAACTGAGATGTGAGCACATAGATGGACCTGCCCTGAGCACACAGACGGACAGGAGGAATTCTAAACCCCAACCGTGAGCAAACTCGTTCATCTGCCAGAGCCCCAAATTCCCGCTTGTGTGCAACTGTCGAAAGCATGCCCTGACCTGAATGGGGGCGGGGGGGCACGTCAAAATTGGTCATGTCTGCTAGAGCCCACCCACAAAGGATTCTTCAACTCACTATCCATAATCTGATTCTTGTGCCCAATGTGGAAATTACCAAAAAACAAAAACAAAAACAAACAAAAAAACCCAACAACCAAAAAACACCCAAGAAAACAAAAAACAAAAAGAAACATAGAGCACATGTAAAGGAAAATTTAAAAAGCTGGAAGCGTAACCCCTTGGTCCAAAGCACACCAACTCCTATTTCCTTTGAGTAACAGAGAAACACGTCAAATCCTCTCGTTTGACCCCTCTTTGAAAAGAAGAACATGCACATCACACATTTACACTGGTTTACTAAAAAGGCGGGGGGTGGGCTTACAGTTAAAAAAAAAAAGGAAACAAAGAGGATGATTCGAGTGTAACAATACTGATTCAAAACTGAAATGGAAGACAGTTTCTCCCTAGAATACTTTAGGGTTGTTCAGAGTCCTTTTCCATAAAAGGAATATACTTGAAACACATCCCAGTTAGGTGAGATGAGATTGCTAAAATACATACAGAACTAAAAACAAAAACAAAAACAACAACAACAACAAAACAACAAACCAGCAAAAAACCGAGTCCATTTAATCTTTTATACTCCTAAAGTTTCACGCTGGTTGGCAGCCTTTCTCCTAACGCCTACTGCATCACTGCAAGGAATTTGCTTTCTTCCGCGAGGGAGGTCAGCAAAGAGCTCATGTCCCCGATGGCCATGTTGGTGGTGCTCACCGACAGCGCGGGCAGTGGGAGGGACGCGCGTGGCGTCGTGAGGCGGGAGGAGCTGTGGGAAAGGTTCTGAATGATACTGGGGCTCAGGGCTCCTGACATCAGGCTGGCATGGTCCCCATCGTCTATGATAGCATCAAAGTCAATCTGCACCCCTTCCAGGTCATGGCTGTCGAGGCTGTCAACCGTGCTCGTCACCTGGTTAGCACCTGGGGAGAGTAATTCAGAGTTTTCGGCGCTGGCCCCCGGTAGCAGGCAGTTGGCTTCTGAAATGGAGAATGAACCAGTTTTCATGTCTTGCTGCTGACTGAAGCCAACGGTTTGGTCATAGAACTGACCAGAGTAACTCTGCGCGTTCGAACAGAGTGGATGGGGCTGCCCGTGCATCTCCATCTTGACGCCATTCACCCTGCAGGTTGGACTGGTGTCACTGAGCTGTCCCTGCTGCAGAGCAAGGCTGCCCCTCAGCACAGCCTGGCGCCTGATGCCCCCGTAGCCGGCACACGCCTGGTAGCCCCTGGAAGCTGCCAAGCTGGACGGCTGGCTGCCGAGGCAGGGGGGCCCTGGCAGGCCGCTCTCTGGCCCTTGATAGATATTGATGTGTGAGGTAGCGCTAACCTGCCCTAGCATCTGCTGGCCGGCGCGGCCTGCCCCTTGGTGGTCGCTAAGCAGCTGAGGGGCCAGGTATCCCTGGCCCACCAGGTCTTGGGGCGCCATGACATTCACGGCACCGCCCGCTGACTCGTTGGGTGCCACCGACAGGCCAAAATCTGGCTGGCTCCCGTTCGCCGGCACTGTGGCGCTTTTCAGCTTTGCTGCTTGAATCCCGGCACCACAGGCCCCGTCGAGCAGGCCAGGGGCCCCAGGCTGCCTGTTGAGGCAGGTTCCATATGGCTGGGCCTTGTAGGGCTGTTCATGGAAGGCGTTCCCATTGGTGCCAGGCCCACTGCTTCCGCTGCCGTGGCTCACCAAGTGCTCTGGGCTGCTGTAGGAGCTGCCGGGCTCGGCGAGGGCCGGATACCCCCCGGCAGGGCCGGCCCCGCTCCTCAAGGGATGCTGTGGGTGGACGCCCATGTTGCTGTAGAAGCCGAAGGCTCGGGCCTGCTGCGCTGCAGCCCGATGGCCACATTTCAGCTTGGAAGAGCACAGGTCGGCGCTGCCAGAGCTGACCTCATTCCACTGAATGGGCAGGTCGGATTTGCTGGCTTGCGGGCAAGGCTGCTCGAGCGGCCGGTACTGCTGGCTGGCGTGGCCAGTGTGGCCGGGGTGGCCATCTGGCAGCCCGGGGGGGTCAAAGTCTCCATGCCCACTCCCCAGGCTGGGCCCATGGGGCACTTTGCCATCGTCGGAGACGGCGCTTTGGAAGGGCTGCTCATACCCTGCTTGGGTCTGGGCATTTAAATACTGCACCACATCATCGGGCAAGAAATCCTCCTCGTTCAGGTTCAGCTCGGTGTCCATGGTCAGGGACTCTAGGGTGACGTTCTCGGTAATGCTCGGAGGACAGGGAGACGCTGGGAAGTGGCGGGGCTGGCCGCCCTCGGGCCGCGTGTAGTTCTGAAGCACTAAGTTGCGCTTTTCCAGGGAGGGAGGCAGCGCCGGAGGGCTGAAGCTCTGCAGGCTGCTGAAGCGCTGCACCCGTGGCAGGGAGAGGCTCTCGGACACCGTCCTCACCGGGTCGCTGGCCCTCCTCACGCCATTGCCCAGCCCATCGGCGGGCAGCAGAGGGCGGCGGCCGTGACTGTGGGTGCCCCCGTCGCTACACCTCCGCGGAGGGTGCACGGGGGGCAGGGCCCCCGTGGGCTCCCTGCCGTCCCCAAGCAGGGCCATCCTGGTCTTCAGGCTCATCCTCTCCATGTTAGGCAGCGGGGTGGGGGGTGGCCCACCCGTGGCCGCTGCATACTTGGCTTTCAGGCGGTACTGCTGCGCCGGCGTGAGGCTGAGCAGGCTGGGCAGCCCGTCTCCCTGGCTGGCCTCGCTGGACCTGCGTGAGGCGTCGGTGGAGATGGGGTCGTAGGAGTCGGCCACGCTCACGTTCTGGGGCCGGCCCTCGGCCTGGGATGCCTCGCTGGATCTCCGGCTGGAGAAGCAGGGGGAGATGCCTGAGGAGCGGCGGCTGCTCAGGTAGGCAGAGCTGATGGTGCTGGTGTTGCTGTCCCTCCGGTTGAGCATGTTCAACATGGTGATATCCATGCCGGAAAGGTCGCTTCTGTTTGGGAGAAGAGTCACGGGCCCGCCCAAGCTGCAGCTGGTACTGGGCTGCGTGCCTGCAGAGAAAAGGGTGGGAGACGTGCAGTCATTTCGGGAGGACTGGAAACAGGTCAGGGCGCAGGATAGGGTGAAGCCAGTTTCGGGTTCCCTGGGCCCGGCAGCATCTGCCACAGCCCCCTACCTCTGCCGTGCAGCCCCAAAGGGCCCAGGGAACCGTGAAGGAGTAGGTGCAGCTGCGTTGCCAAGAATCTTTATTTATGATTCCGTGGGAAAGTTTGCAGACCCCTGGCTTAAACAGAACAGTAAATGCAGCCTGGATCACTTAAGCTCCTTCACAGGTGCAGGGCACAGTGCTCGGGGGCCAGGCAAGTCCAAGGCCAAAGGCATTCGGGGAGTGTCCTATCTACTCAGGGCTTCCTCTGACATCCTGTGAAGGTGGAGCATGCCTGGGTTGGGGGTGGGGAGCTTCACCCTTAGGAATACGCTCCAGGCAGTGAGTGTCATCTCAGAAGCAAAACCTGACATGAGGCTGCCAACATGCAAGGCTGCCTGGCCTTCCTTGACCTGGGAACACGTCAGTCAAGGTGGCTGCTGAGTTCCTGGGTGCAGACGGGAAACCGGATGGCAGTGCTAACCCCAGATGTCTCTGCTGGAGGGAGTTCCTCAGCCCGGCCCAACAGTTATGATCTCACTGTGAGAACATGAGTCACGCACAGAGTGAGCATAGTGGGCGCTACCTTCTGTGTTGGCAGTATCCCCTTACCACCTGCTTTTTTAAAATATGGACTCTCCCAGAAAGGCAACACTGATGTGTGTGGTGATGGTAGAATTTCAGGACCAGGTCGGGGGGACACACAAGCACACACCGAGCGGCTTGGGTGCACAGACCGAATAGAAAGCCCGGAGCCAACGTGAGGTGGGGCAGGGACTTACCATTTCCCATGAGAGGAGACACTGCAGGGGCTTTGGGGGGTAGGACGGGGTTCAGTCGTGGAAGCATTCCATTCACTTGTTTGAGCCTTTCTAGTTTTACGTGCTCCATCCATTTGGTCCCTGCCGGGTTCCTCCTGGCTTGCAAGGCCAGGGCGGTGGTGGCCGTGGAAATGGTCGAGTCCATGACTGGGGTTTCATCGATGGCACCGAGGTCCCCCACACCACCTCCGTCGGTCAGAGGAAGCTCGAGCCCACTGCTGGAATAGTTGCTGATGGGGGACTGTTGGTTGCTGCATGAAGACTGACCACCAGGGCTTGGCTGAGATGTCTGCTGGGGTCAAGGGCAAAGGCAAGAGACGTCACCGGGAAGGAGAAAGGCAGGGAGCTCATGCAGACGCTCGACCTGCAGGGGGCTCCGGGGGTGGCGTGAGGAGAACCATGTGCCAGGGAATGAAGGCGGCCTCTCTCAGTGGCAGCAGCTGAGGGGGTGCCAGGAGGATGTGCGGGGGGTGGGAGGGGACAATGGCAGCGGGAAGTGCTGAAGAGGGCGGTGGTGACCGGCACGACATCAGCCACGGAACCCTGCCCCAGGTGCCAACTTTGCCAAACAGGCTTCCTCGGCTCCAGTCCCACTTGCACAACTTGACTTGATTCTTTGGGCAAAATACTCAGTCACTCTAGACCTGTTTCCTTATCTACCAAATGGGGACAACTTAATCAGTCTTCGGGATTGTGGCGGGAATTAAGTGTCAGGCTCAGAGAGCACACGAAATATAAAACGACCTAGGAAACGGTTCCTAATTGGCTCTGTGGGCATTCGCGGCTCATCTGACCCCAGGGGGCTTTGGTCCACAGGTTTGTCCTGCTTGGCTACCGCGTCCGTGGGAGATGGGCACTTGAGGCACACATGACCTCCTCTCCCATGAGACCCTCTCTGAGCTGCTCAGGGCTGGTTCCCCAAGCTCTGTGCAACCTCCCCCCTTCTGTCTACACCTGCCTGCTCTGTAGAACCCCAGCCAGGCTGTTCACAGAGGCAGCTGTAAGAGGCAAAACTTCAATCCCTTGGCTTCTGCCATACCCAGAGGGGAAGACAGGCTGCAGGTTACAGCCATCCGATTCTGGGGAATAATCTTACCGTTTCCCCTAAGTGCCCTGGCGTTTCTCTGGGAGAACAGGGCAATGTTTCCCTCACCCCAACTGTGGACTGTATCAGCCAGTTCTGCAACTAGATAGAAACTTGATCCAGGGCACTGGTGCTCCATCAGGGAAAGGAACCCCCACCCTGGGACTCCGGGAGACGGGGAGTGGAGAGCTGGTGATCCTCAGGTCTGGGGGAGCAGGGAACACCAGGTAAAATGGCCCTCAGTGACTGTTCTGCACAACCTAGAACCGCTCTAAAATTGCACTGGTGAATTCAATTGGCTGAGAAACAGTATAACCCCTTTTGTGTGGATAAGGAAAGCAACTTCAGTGACTGCCCAAAATAACAAAGTCACAAAGTCAGTGCTAAGACTAGCCTAGACTCCCAGCCCGGTACCACAGAGCCCTCTCCAGCATTACTGTAACAACTGGAACCTGACAGCAGCCCCAAGAGCCGGTTCTCCAGGGAGAGAGAACCACAGGCACTCAGGTACGGACTCCCACTGTTGTCCCAAATGGGGTGCACAGCGCTGTTGGGAAGGGCTTTTAGGCACAGGGCTTCTCCGTAGAACCCATCACACTCGTTCTGCAACCACACTACATACAGCCAAGCAGACGAACACTTTCTAAGTGAGTGTCATGTGATACACTGAGTCTGTCCTGGGCAATCAAGCAGAGCCAAATGAGATACACCAATCTGATGGTGAGTTCAGGAAGCCTCGCTCACATTTTGCTTCAGCAGAATCCTGGAGGGCCAGGCCACCTGCTCCTTCCCAAGGTACTTGGAGCATGCAGGGCTTCGGAGGTCTTTGACTCTTGGACTGTCAGCTCAGAGTGTGTGCAGCTGAATCTGTGTGCGCGTGTGTGTGCGCGTGCACACGCATGGCCGACTCACGCCTCCACAAGTCACGGAAGGAGGCACAAAGGCATTTACGACCAGAGAGCTACTCAGAGGAGTCAGACATTTCCATACAGATTAAACTGCGAACAACAAATGTATCCAGATCGTCCTCAAAGAGGGTGGTACTGGTCTGGCCTCAGAATGAATTTACATGTGTCAATTTGATAATGAAATAGTCTTTGAGAACATCTGCTTGGTTGGCCGGCTGTGATTTGTTATGAAAACCTACACAAATAGAACAATGAATTTCACCATCTAACTCCACATTTCCACATGCTGAATGGTCAAAACACATTGCTTCTATGTTTGAAATGTAGCTGAGTAATGTTCTCTACCAAAGATATCACAAAGCACAAGAACTAAAGAAAAATCAAATGCATAGAAGTTAAATGTTAAAACAAACACAAAACAAAAAGAGCAGAGAAGCCAAAATTCCCTCACCTTATTACCCACTGTCCTTAGGAAGTGAGAACAAGACATTTAGGAGCATTACACAGAAGAGATGTGGAATTAATAAGAAAAAAGAAGAAAGAATTTAATTCATAGCACAATGATCAAAGACACGTTTTTAAAGAAAGAATATTAGACATGTAAATTTTATATGCATTAGTAAATGTCTACGAAGCGATCTATTTATATTTACATGTGTATGGACATATACTGACAAAATAATCCCCTGTGGGAAATTTGATTAATTTATTAGCCTTACCTATAAATATGGAGCCTTGTCTCAATCTCTATGATCCCTCCCAGCCTATGTTTCTGTGATTTCATTACTTTATAAAATAGTTCACATCTTGGGGCATCTCAGATGTCACTGAGCCAAATAACTATACGTTCTTATTTCTACCAATTTTCTTTTTAAATAATGGGTATTTGGAGAGGAGATGACAAGTTTTCTTGAGCTAGGGATGTACATTCAAGGTACAAGAGGCTCTGGGTCCTTAGGACGTCCGAAGAACATAAATCATTGTCTTTTGATGACATAATCTAGGAGACTACAAATTCATTTTCCTTGTTTCATTAAACATTTGAGGATAAACTGTTGAATGTTCTGCACGTTGTACAGGTGGACTTTATTTTAGGAAATGGATATGTACTCCCCCAAAAAAGTATGTACAACACTGCTTATGAACTGATTAATTTTACAGTATGGTGATGGGTCATAATACATACATCAACTTTTGACTAAGGTGCTTTTTATTTACTTTTTTTATTTTTTGACTAAAGTGCTTTATATTTATTTTTCTTTCTTTCTTTTGACTAAGGTGCTTTTTAAAAGCAAAATATAGCTACCCACTGGGAAGTCCTGATAAATCTGGATAGCTTATTTGTATTATTTTTGGCTACACTTAACGCCATCTAAAACTCTTAAACTCAGTAAGTCATTAAAATTCAACCAATGATTAAATTCCACTCGGTCAACTCTGGAATTGTACATGTGCATTATTTCCTATCCATAGGTACTGCTGTGTGGTGACATCACTCAGGAACTCCTAGGATGTCCATCCAATTGCTGGACTTTTCTAATTTTAAGAAGAAACTTCCTGAAACTAAGTATAGCTATGTCTGGCTGACCACTCCCGTGCATCTGGAAATCCAAGCACACGACTTCTATCTGGTGTGTTTCCTCCATATACAGAGTTCTGGACGAGACCCCAACACATTCGCGGAGCTGACTCCGTTACGTCCGCTGCCAAATACAAATGTACCAAGCTCTTCCGATAGCTACTCTTTTCATTATTCTTGTTGCCTTTCTTACAGTTTTAGACGTTTTAGTCTGGCACATCCTTAACAACAATAAAAAAATCACCAAGGGAATTTTGCAAGAAGCTGCAACAGTAGCATAATCCATATACCAGTCTGGTGACTGATATGTCCCCAAACCAGAATGATATCTCCTGATGGCAGCTTTCTATCATCCCCTGCTCTTTACCTCGGTTCAGGCACCACTGCACAAACGGTCTCCAGTCTATCAAGCCCATCCCGAGCCTGGCAAAAGGGGGTTGGCTTTTCTAAAGATCAGCCGTGCCAGGTCATTCGCCATCACTGGTAAAATATAAGCTCTTTGTCCTCCTCACTCCTTTTTACTCCTGCACATGGTCCTGGGGCCCCACGGCTCCTGTTGCAATGCCCTGCTCCCCAGGCCCTGCGCCTTCCCCCACTGAGTGCCAACTTGAGGGCCACCCACTCTGCCGCCCCCATCACATCCTCAAGTGCGCTGGCGGTTTGTTCCCCTCTCGAATGCTCTCACACCACTCATTTGGTGGTCTGTCTATCCCATGGGACTGTAGACGCCTAAAGAATAGGGACTGTGGCTTTTTTATCTCAGGGTCACCAGGGCAAAGCACAAAGCAAAATACTAATTTACAGAAAGACGGAATGGCTGATTTTCTACATTACAGGTCTACTGAAAATGTAGACTGTCGTGCCTTTCTTTCTACCTGCCACGATGTGGTATGGTTCCAGACTGATTTTAAAAACCAGTTAGCAAACCCTGACGTTCTTTTCTGAGTTATTCTATGCCGATGAACCTTAAGTAAGGAAGCCGGGTCTCTGAGCTCCTGACCCCTTCAATCAGAGAGCCCAACGCAGTGAGGACCCAGGCGGTCTAGTCCCTCCTCAAGCCCTCGCTGACTTTCTAAAATGACCTAGGTTGGCTTGGGGACAAGCAGAAGGAAAGTGAATGACATACCATGGGCTTCTCTGCCTTGACTGCTTTCACCTGAAGGCATTCTTCCCGCTTTGAGGTAGTGTTGCTGAGGTCCTTCTGCTCCCCAAGGGCTCCCTGAGTCTGCCGGCCGGGCGACCGGGACTGTGAATGGCTGCCGGAATCACGGGGTGGGGGGGGCCGAGGATGAATGTCCCCACGCTGCTTCTTGGTGACATGAGCCTCTGGGCCATGCACTGTCTTCACGTGCTTCCGGAGGGAACTCGGGTCTGTGTAGCGCTTCGTGCAGCCTGGGATTTTGCACACATATGGTTTCTGCCAAAAGCCACAAGAACAAAATAAGAGATTGTTATCAAAGTGCTAATGCCCCAGCCCAACAGTCTCATGGACGCACACTATAACTTTCTTTCAAAGCACTTCCACAAAGCTGGGAAGTATTCAGATACCTCTGGGTACTAAGGGTTTAATAAAGGCCATTTGAACACTGCTCAGGGGCCAGTGAATCTAGCTTTAATAGGCTATTATTTTAGAGAATGCTCAAGGAGAGCTACAAATGTGCAAATCACCTGTATGTGCTTGGAAACATTTATCCTATGAGTAGGAAGAAGGATCCTGGTGTCGGGGTAGCTTCTCAATAGGTATTTGAAGACGGTGATGGGGAAGACGATGATGATGATGGTGACAACTATAGAAGGCTCAGACCCCCATCACCTCATCAGAAGAATGCTATATGCCTTTGGGAGAATTTGTGTGAAGAAATTTCTTAGGGACTCCTGGTTCTCCGATCAAAACTCACTACACCCGTTGTGAAAATGTGCACATAGGCATAGTAAAAAAAAATTGCCTATAGCCTCTTCTGTGTTAGATATGACTAAAATATGTCCATTTGGGTCGCATTACAACTGTGTGGGATGTTCGGGGCTCAGAATATCCAGAACTTTTCTGATCCTCATAGTTGTAAAGCCCTGTTTGACCATCTATGAATGCTCACTCACAAACTGAGAACGGCTGATGGATGGCATCCTGGAAATGAGGATTCCTGTCTGGCTCTGCTCCTGAGTACTAAGGCCTGTTAATTATTTATTCCATGTTCCATGTGGGCCACTGACTAAACCTACAAATGCAGTCATTAAAAACTCTATGGATGCTTATAGCTACATTATTTACTCAAATCACAGAATCGTTGGAATTTACTCATGACCAACATCAAAACTGCGATTTTGTTTACCTGGCTTGAAATATAATATATTCACGAATCCTTACAAGAATATGTATCTATGTAGACCAGAAGATGAGCTATTAGGTAAGCGATAGTCATAAAAAGCATGATTAGTATAATGTACCCATTATATTAAAAAAAGATGTCCTGTCTTATAGAATGTATGTGTCTAAAAGATGCTTTTTCACTAAAAGCCCAAGAACAGACTGAGTGCTACATAAAATGATGAAATGCCCTAATGTAGTGAAGACTCCGAAAATTATCCCGAGAGACTTCACCTCCAAATTTGAGATTCTTTTGGGGAGAATTGATTCCCATTAACTATGAATTACTTCTATTCAGGGGCTGGTGTGATTTGCAGCACATATATAATGAAACGAGCACATCGACTTCTATGCATTAGGGACAGAAGAATGGCTCCAGCAATGAGAGCTATTACCTTACAGCATCCTGACATCGGCCCAATGCCTGCTCGCAGCGCTGCCGTGACAGACTGTTCTATCAGCAGGCACGCCGGGATGCATGGAGCAGGTGTCGGGGGGCAGGGGGACAGGGGGTCACGGGGAGAGAGCCAGGCTGGCATTACACGCCTGAGGAGCTACTCTTCCCATAAGTATATGCATGTGTATACCCTGGGTTAGCTTGGAAAGGGGGACACAGCTAGAGGTGGAAAGTCTTTGCTTGCGATCGATGACTGAAATGAAATATAACTGTACGCAGGGATAATAAATGTTGTCAGTCTCACTGAGTTCCCTGCGTCTCCTGTCCTAGATGTTCAACTTTTGACACGGTTGTTTCCTTTTAGACTCACTCAACTGAAAGGTACTTTGTGAAAGTAATTGCTGTGTTTTTTTACTTGACTTTGTAGCAATTATCCAACTAAATTTTTCAATAAACGTTTAATGGTCCTCACTATAGGCAAGACTCATATACTGCAGGATTTAATGTCCAGGGTTATAAAATGTGCAGGAAAAATAAGAGAGCATGTAATTATCACCAGGCCCAAGTATGAATGCCACAGAAGGATGTGGACGGAGGACAATCACTTTTTAGTTGGGATGATTGTGGGGAGCATCAGTTACTACGCTTTTATACCTGGGTATAACACCCAGCTCGTGGGGTCTAAGGGTGAAATAAGACTATATATGAAATGCTCATCACGATGTGTTTGTGGCATAGAGTAATTACTCAGTGAACCGAACTTTATTAGGAGGAGGCTCTGTAGCTGGGTCCTGAAAGTAGACCAAAATTCTGAGGGATAAAAATGAAGGTAAGAGGATGTGAAAGGAAAGCCACGGTCCAGAGGCAGGACCGCTTAATGCATGCGGGTGTGGCTGTCTGGTTCCACTCATAGCCCAGAGGTCAGAGGTCAAGCCTGGAAGGGCAGGCTTGGGCCGGGTGCCAGCAGGTACAAGCTGAGAGAATCTAAACTTTCTCTCTAGGAAAGAGGAAGCCACTGGAATGTTCTGGAAAGGGAGATACAACTGAGTCAGAGCTCAAGGATACCTGCCTAGTGTGGCTTTGGGGGGACATGAGCTGTGTGGTCTAGAGTTGGGATCCCTGGCAGAGGCCACTGCTATGGCCCCAGTGGGTGAGGCAGCCTAAGGGTGCAGGAGGAAGGCCAGACTGGCTTCCCGAGCGGGAATGACGCCCTCCTGTTCAAGTCCATGGTATTCTGTTCCTCACCCACAATAGCAAAGCTTGCACCACCTAACTAGCTATCGATATTTGTTTAGGGAATGAATGAAAGTACAAATAAGAGAGAGCAAATAAATGAAAGAAGATACCTAGATTTATCTAGGACCGGCTCATGACACAAATCTAGATTCTTAATTTTGGTGGATGTGAAGCCGTCCATCATTTATACGGAGGACCAAAGCCTTGCGTGGTCAAGGTGGTTAACTTATTTTAGATACACTGCTCAACCCTGGTGAAAGATATGATTGAACAGGATAACTTTTAATCTCATAATGGATAAATGCTCATATGGCGCTGCACTCTTGACCTCACAGAAGTGGACAAGCTCAACTCTAATGCATTTGAGCAAAGCAAACAGCTATGCACATAATTTAAGTCCTTAAGAAAGATAAAAAGCTGAGTAAGTATGTGTGTATATGTTCACTGCTAATCCTAACACACCCACTGCCCCAATTTCTCCACAATAACAGGAGGGAAACTTGTCCTAAAAATCCATAGGAATGAATACCTTCTAAATTTCTAGAGTGTAGTTAAATATATCAATTTAATTCTAACTTAATCAAATGCCCTAAAACATTTTAAATTGAGATATAATCCACATACCATAAAAAGAACCCTTTTAAGTTGCACAATTCAGTGGCATTTGGTACATCCACAATCTTGTGCAACTATCACCATTTATCAGTCAAATTCCAGAATATTTCCAACATCCTCCAAAGAAATCCTGTATCTATTAGCAGTCACCCCCTATTCCCTTCCCTCAGCCTCTGGCAACCACTGATCTGCTTTCCATCTCTAAGGATTCGCCTAGACTCCTTAAAACTTTGCACAAAACAAGAACAGCAGATTACATAGCAACCACATGTAGTAAAGGCATTTTTGACATAAAAAAAATGGAGATGTGGCAACTCCCCTAAAGCATCCTCCAACAGCTGATTAATAATAAGAAGACTCCAAATGACGTAAGTCTCCTTATTCTGCCATGACCCTTTCAAAAAGGGTCTGTACGTGTGAACCTGCATGTATGAGCTGAAGAGTGACTGTGTTTTTAAGAAAAGTGTGGCTCATCCCATTAAAGATGTGTTTGCTCTGTCCCATAAGCTTAAGGGACACTTGGAGAGTACCGCATAGCCAATGGTCCCTGAGCTATTGAGCCAGGTCAAGTGCTCCTTCTCACACTGTCAAACAAACTGATGACCTCCTTAGTGGGGCAGAACTACATCTCATGTTAACAAATTCTGGCTAAATATCCCATTTCTATTCTATGCAAAAGGCGGGGAGCCTTTTTGTTAATCTCTGGATTCATTCAAGAGAAGGCTTCACAGAGGAGCCAGAACTTTGAGCTAGACCTTCTTCAAAGAGAAGTCAGAGGCCTTCGGGCAGACATGCATTAAAACCCGGGCAAAATAATTTGAAATCACTTTCATTCTTAAGGCTGCTCTGAAATTCTGGGGGGATGACTATGGACAAACCACAACATAACAGGAACCACCCACCAACCTTGAAACTTTATCCAATATGCAATCTTAAATGACTGACTAGAAACCATTCTGGATTTCTGAGAATAGCTCAAGAGCTTTTGGAATTTAGAATGCCTGGATGTCATGTTTGGCCACGGCTGGTTGCCCTGAAAAGGACTTTTTGGCTAGAGCGCATTTGAAGATACCACCTGGAGAAAGCAGGGAAAAGTGGCCATCTATCCGTGCTGCTTACAGGGTCGTCCTCTGCAGGAACTCATGCTATTCCAGGCAGAGCAAGTGGGTGGAATGCCAAAGTTAAATGCTCCTACTGTTTGACCAGTAGGTGGCAGTTCTGAACAAGGTGAAACTTGCTTGCCAGGGGTTTGAAGTTCCCTCTGGGTCTGCATTACTCACCAAACCAGGCCCCTTTGCAGCCAGCCCCATGGTGGAGGAGCTCTAGGCCTTCACCTGCAGCCTCAGCGCCCAGTCCTGCTGGGCCAAGAGGAAATGAAACGGAATGGTCCTTGTCTCCAAGTACATTGCCCGTGAGGGCTCTTTGTTTCCACCCTGAGCTCGGGGCCCAAACAGTGTCTTGTGGGGGAGCCTCACCTCATTGGAATGCGTCCTGTTTTGGTGCTTGGCGCGATCAGAGGCATTTGAGAAAGCCTTGTTGCAACCTTCATGCTCACAGACGTACGGTTTCTCTCCAGTGTGAGATCTCAAGTGCGTTTTCAAGTTTTCTAGTCTCGAGTAGGCCTTTGTGCAACCTTCAAACTGAGGACAACAGGTAAAATGCATTACCCCACACAATAACGGCTTATGCCTAACACTCCCTCAAAATTGATGAAAGACTGACGTTTCGAGGGTCAGCAGCTTTTCAAAACTGAGGAACAAAAGTCTACTAAACTCTGCATTTATTGGGATTCAGATGGGGCTCACAGTGCAGTTCAAGAGACAGCATTTTCAGGGCTACTAAAAAGTCCTGGAGGTTTTTTTGTTTTGTTTTTTTTCTTTTTTTAAATAGACCACTCAATGTGGACAATGGGTTTCATTATCTGCTCATTGATCTCCTCAAGTTCCCACTGATTTTAGATTCAGCACAAAGTTCACTAATATGGCTTTGTGTCCATACAAAGGCATGGAATTTGATCGTGTTTGTAAAGGGCCTTTAAGATGTAAAGCACAGGGCTGAGCAGTGCCCAGTGCGCCTGGCGGCACCTCAGTGAAAGGAGGCTTAGTCCCAGCCCTCTTGTGGGTCTACACAGGGCCATGGGGATGGACTAGGAAGGCAAAAGAAAACTCTGAAGTCACGTGGGTTCTGTTTTTAAAAGTGAGCTTAAGGGTTTCAAGTCAAAGTTGGCACCTCCCTCTGCCCTCCGGGTCCTCTCGCGTGATGGGCATTAGCGCCGGGGCAGGATGCTGGCCACACGCTCATTCCCAGTGCCCACCAGGGCATCCCAGCTGCCGCCCGCCCACCTGCCAGTCTGCTGTCCAATGTGGGTGCCGCGTGCCACCAGAGGCTGTTGATATTTACATTTTTAAAAAAATGAAATTACAAAAATCAGTTCCTTGGTTGCTCCGGCCAGGTGTCCAAAGCACCCAAGAGGCACATGTGGCCTCCGGCTACCTTGTCAGACAGGGCAGGTCAGAGCGCTTCTGCTGTCCCCCAAAGTGTGGTTGTCAGGGCTCCTTCTCCACTCTGGCCTCCCCCCAATCCCAGAACACCCTCTCAGAACTCCGGGCATTCATCACAGACCCCGGCTCCTCCCATCCGCACAGGGTGCAGACACCGCCCCCCCACGGCAGGGGAACCCGAACCCCAGCCTGACACGTGCCCCTGCCAGGTGGCCCCATGCCTGCAGCTCATGCCGCACACTCACAGTGCATTTGTGAGGCTTTTCCCCCGTGTGCCTCCTCATGTGCACCACCAGCATGTACTGGGCTTTGAAGGGCTTCTGCTCTCTCGAGCAATCCAACCACCGGCACACGAATTCCTTCTTCTCGCCGTGAATATGGTCGTTATTTATATGCTGGGGTGGGGAAAGAGAAAGGGAAAGTGCGTAGGAATGCAGGACTCATTTCTGAAGGTGACAGAAGGGAGGGCAAGAAGTGCCCCAACCCTCAGCCCTAAGGAATACAGGGTAACTTTATATACAGATGATCTTTTTTTTTTTTTTTTATGTATGTTTCTTAAGTAAATTTGCCCTTAGTAACTGTGCACGTATATTTCCTAACCAGCAGGAGTGGTGCTATTTGGAGGAGGCCTGGTGGCCCAGAAAAGTTACCTCACACGGCCTCTGAAGAGGGGAACTGTGAAATGGGGTGAGCCCATGCGTCCTCGCTGGGCCTCCACCTTTTTCACTTGCTGAGTGGGGGTCAAGGTCAACAGAGCACAAGAGAACTCCCCAGCTCCCATGCGCTCTGGGCCTTGGGTTAGCGCTGCGGCTGAGATCTCAGGAAGGGAACACACACATGTGCACGCACACACGTCATTCTGTGACAGGAGCACCAAAAACTGAAGTGCTTTCTCAAACTACACTTTAGTTCCAATTAGTGGGATTTTTTTCTTCAATGAATCACAGACAAATAAACCAAATACTGAAGAGAACCAGGAGACCAAAGAAATGCTGTCGTCTCTGGATCATAGCCTTCTTGATGTACAAAACACAGGGATGGCTCACCTAGGCTCCAAGGTTCCTTTCCAGCTCTATAGAACTCTCTTAACTTCATTTGTAAAACAAAGATGAATTTCCCTGAATGCCTCATTAATTCAGTTTTAGAACCAATTTTTATATAGTTCCTTGGGGTCATACCTCAAGGGTCCTACAACGGGAAGACACAAAGAACCCTACAGAAACACCCAAGGAAGAGAAGGTTCTCACCTTGGATCAAATTTAAGTCAGTTTAAGTAAGACGATTATGTGATTTAAATGTCCATTTAATTACTGAGGAAATCAATGTCTTGGGTGGATCCTGTTGGTTTTATTCTCTGGTTACCCCACATTCTGTTTGCCTTAATGTAAGGCTCTTGCAAGCACTTTCTCAACGTATGTAAAAACACACCACAAATGAATCTGTTCAATGAGAGAAAGCCCCCTTTGGATTCCATGCACTGCGTGGTCATGACAGAACGTTTAATTACTTTCTTGCTTAGGCTCTGACTCCTGAATGAGTCGTCTCTGGGGGCTCCATGGGTAAGATTCCACCCTCAGCCGGCCTTGCCCGGTTCCTCTAGGGGGGGGCCTGCTGAGGCAGGAAAAAGTGACATGTGTTCTGCTTCCTGGACTTGAACACTGGGTGAGGGCAGAGAAAGGCAGCTGCTATGAACTCCCCGCTCCTCAAGCAGCTCCTGCCGATCACATGAATCCATCCCATAAAAACTGCTCTTGTTTCACTTTTCCCCAAGCTATTGGAAATAAACTCCTTGGATTGATGTACATGAAAGAACAAAGAGAAAGGATGGGAAGGAGGAAGGAGAGGGAGGCAGGGGAGCTGGAAAATGGAGTTAGAACTCAGGCTGAGTCTACTCCTAGAAGACAGGACCCACAGCTTCTAGCTTCATAGTCTCAGCAACTGGCCGGGGCTCCCTGGCACCTGGCAGGTCCTCAGTAAATATCTGCTGAATTGATTGGACTCATGTGGCAAACTTCCACTGGACAAAAGAGATTGAACTTGATGCTTCTGCTTATTTTAACTTAGCTTCATTTTACCTAGTGTCCATACAACATGATTTTAATATAACGTGTTAGATTACTTTAAGATGATACACTATCAAGAAGTCAAAAGGATCTGAATGATATCCAAACACGAACCCTACCTTGCTGGGTCGAATAAGGGAACACTGGGTGAGTGTACTCTTTTTGTTCTGCACACATACTTCCTGAACAGAACTGAATGCTTGTTATCCAAGATCCCCAGGTCTCCAAGAGGAGATGGTGGGATTATCAGAGTATGAGCTAGAATATCTAGAGTTTTCTGAGGGGATGTTGCATTGAGCCGAGTCTCAAGTTTTCTAGAAACACTTTTTCTCATCAATTAATAAATGCTTACTGTACATTATGTGATTGCAACACCCTATTCATCTGTCCTGCATTTACTCGTGCATACTGAGGTCCACTCCATACCAAGACCCATGCTGGGGAACCAGATGGGCATACTTCCTGCCCTAAGGAAATGATAGTCTACCAGAGCCAAGCAGATAATGCCTTAAATTACTATACAATTATAGTTGTGATCAGTGTTGTGAAAGGAAGTAAGAGGGTTTTCTAAAAATAATTAATAGGGGGTCTCAAATCCGTGTGATGCACCGAAGAGGAGGGTTAGCTTCTTCATTGAAGGGGCATTTATGGTAGGGCCCGAGTGATGCGTGGAGACCTGCCAGGTGTGCAGATAAGAGAGGGTGTGGGGAGAAAGGGTCACCATCACAGAAAAGCGAGACCAATGGGACAGAACCTGGTGCCCTTGAGGAACAGGGTGAGGACCACGTGTGGTAGGTAAAGAACACGCATGGCAGGAGAGGTTGGGTCTAGCAGACCCAGGAGGCATCCAGAATGGCCACGGCCTGGTGCGGTAAGAAGTCATGAGTTTCCACTGGCTAGGTGGATGCCACCAACACCCCACCAGTCCCCTCAGGTGCATGCCTGGCCAGAATAGCAACGGAAGGCTCTGAAGCAGAGGTTGAAATTGACTGGCTAGCCAAGTCCTAGAAGCTGGCTACCGAGGTGTGGAGGGACCCACCACTAAGCTGGAGGAGGGAGTGGACAAGAAGCTGACAAGAGAGCAATAACTAAAAGATCCCATTTCCTATTTATACCTCACCAACTCTCGTTGACCTTGGCCTCTGGGACAATGTCTGAAAATTCCAGGGCCGGGAATCGCATGCCAATCAGCCAGTCGATCTGCACATGGGAAGGAACACAGAGGAACCTTCGCTAGGCAGTAGGAGCAACCTCACTTTCAGAAAGGTTAGCATCTGGGGGGTCTTCCCTCTCGGCCCCCGTACAGGAGACCTGAGTAATGTCTAATAGGCTTTTGTAATTTTCTGAAACTGCTCTTGAGTGCAAACTTGGATTGAGACCACAAGTTATTTTCCTTGAAATGAGATTCTTCCACCTCGGCTGGTGGGGACGGGGTCCAAGTGCTGAGCACAGGATGTAATCAATTACTCTAAAGAAATATGAAGACATCCTTCTGCCTACTTGGGTAGTTCAAATGCATTTTAGGCTGAACACATTTCCTGACTCTAGATTTCAAGTGAAAAAAATAATTCTAAGAAATAGATTTTACATGTCCATGTGTCCTAAATATTTACTTTTCTTTCACAAGCTGCTTTGACCTCTGCAGCGAGGCAGACCCTAAACTACCGTGGAAAGAACACGGGGTAGGCATTGGAAGATGACTCCTAGACCAACTTCTGATGAGCTCTGTATCTCTGGACAGGTCAGTTCTCCTACTTGAACCTTAATTTTCTCATCTGTTAAATCTAGGTGATGAACCAGATCGGGTGTTGGCAAACTTTTTCTGTAAAATGCCAGACAGGAACTACTTTAGGCTTTGCTGGCCAAAAGGTCGTAGGTACTCAAACTCTGCCACTATTTTAGGTGAACAGCCATAGACAATGTGTAAATGAATGGGTGCAGCTGTTTATCTTTGACTTTATCTTTGATGCTAAACATTTCACGTGTCAAAAAACAGTCTTAAAATTTTTTATTTCAACCATTTAAAACTGAAAGAACCATTTCTTCGCTCATGGGCTGTGCAAAAGCAAGCAGGGGGTCAGAGCTGGACTGTGGGCCATCAGTTTGCTCATCCCTGACTAAGCAATTTCAGTTTCCTTCTTAGGCTAGCAGAGCCCATGACGTTCTTGGTCAGGCTTGTCAAGCCTGAGGAAGTAAAATCAGAGGGAGGCAGGTGTCAGTGCTAGGGAAAAGACAAAATCCACAGGAAGGAAAAAAAGTCAGGATCCTAGGCTAAACAAGGGGAGGGAGGGAGGCCAGACAGACTCCTCCCACTCTGTGCTCCTAGGACCCGGTGGATCTTGCTCACCCAAATCCCCAGGTAGCTAAGAAGACTACACGCAGCAAATTCTTAGCATTCCACCAACAGAATGCTCCCGCATGAAGCTGGCCTGAAATTCAATGGGCATGTGTTTATTTGTGGTTTCATTGAACATTTGACTTCCTAGCAATGAAAACGTTAATCAAATATATAAATAATTTAATTGGAGGGAAAATAATGCATGATTAAAGTCCAAACTAATCCAACACAAAGACATGCAATTTGCCAGTGGCGCAAGTTCCAGAAAGAGATAGATGGCGTAAATTACAGTGTCGTGTGCCAACTCGCTCGGCAGGGCTGCTCAGAACTCTCCCCATCAGGACAACCAGGACAGGGACGCCAGGACTGCACTGTCCCCCCCGCAAAAGGCCGAGTCCCCCCGCCCCCGCCCCGTGCACAGCTTCTGCACGATTCCATCTTCCAAGCAGGACTGGAAGCATCTGCCTCAGGAAACTGATGGCTGTTGGAACAAGTAAGATCTCTCAGGTGCCCACAGCAAACCAACAAAGTTGCTGTGTCCCCAGCGGGACGTGTCTGCAGCCAGGTGAGCCGAGACCCCGCATTCCCATCCCTTCTGCTCCCCACGGCGCCCTGGGGACTCAGGAGGAGCGAGAAGCCTCTCTGGTCGGCCTGGCCATCCAGGCAGCCTGGGAGGCTTCAGTGCCATGGGCAGAAAGACCTGAAGGGAAATGGGGGAGAGGCAGCTTTTCTGTCATGGACAGCAAAATGGAAGCTACAGTGGCCTTCGCTAAGCTAATCAGAATCATTCTTCTTGCATCGTTATTTTGCTCCCAGGAAAGAACAGGTAGTTCTTCCTCAGTCTAACTGCGAACCCTTCGGATGAAGCACACGCGTGTGAGGTCTATCAGCCCCGATTGTTGGTGGCCCTCCAAATAAAGCTGCTGGTCAAGCGGTTTGGGAACCTGGGAAGCACCCTTCTGCTTGCTCTCTGTCTCCCTCGGCTTTGGCCAGA